ACAAATTTCAAGTTTCTTCAACACAGTGTCCATTCATTCAGCCAAACCCAGCATGAGCCTATGTCGATTCCCTCTCCTCTCTCAAGGTCCGGGCATACTTTATGCGATTTGGCAATCCGCCAGAAGTCTTTAGATCCAACACTAGCAAAGTGCAGCATAGTATGTATAACTTAGGCGGATTGATAAAATGCCTTATTTTCCGTACATTTAAAATGTGCTTACAGTGAGTTATGGACAGTTGGAATAATGCCAAATCGCGTCGCGACTGAAATCGCGTGAAGTATGCGCGGCGCTTTACATGGGAGGGTCACGAATGGAGTGGTCGGTTACCAAAGTATGAATACCGCTACAAAGAGCTTGGAGAGCCGAGTCAAGTTTGCCCCCCACATGTGCAGGTTTATATCATCAAGATTTGCATGGTTTTGAGTAGCTACAAATAATGAAAAACTAAATTACTTTTTGCGCTATAAGATAAAGAACTGAAAGGTCGACCCTATCTTGTTAGTCAAACTAAACAGCTTGTTTTTATTCCTCCCCATCGCCTACGTCCCCTCCCTCTTTGACCTCTCAATAGCCCACGCTCGACTGTGGCTTCGCGCGCAACACCTCATGTGCTTGACTATGGCTATCTCCAAGTGTAGTAGAATATCCCATAATCAAGAAAAGATTATCGCCGTTTGTAGTACAGGTGCATGTGAGGCCAAATAAAGGACTACAGTACCCAAACAGGGTGTTTCAAGACAGAAGAAAATAGAAGTCATGATAGAAAGAGATAGAAATTGTTGGGGCTGGCATGATTCTGACGAAGACAGTGATTGGGTCACCGTCGATCCACCTTTGGGGATGCGTAAAAGAGAGCCAACCACTTTGACAACAAAGAGCAATCAATCGTTGTAGTCGTCAAGCATGCCTCTTGATTTCTACACTGCCTACAGGGCTCCTAAATTGCAGAGTCGTTTGCACCAGCGATCGCGCGACCGCTGGTGCAAACGACTCTGCAAATTAGGAGCCCTGTACATCCATCAGGGATACGAAAGTCGAGTAATAGCAGCAAAGCATACAAACAAACCGTAACAGATTGCACACAGCACATTAATGCCTGTTTCCAAACTTTGTTTTCGAGGCGCTATACTTTGTCGCGATTATGAAAAATTATTGTCAACCTTTTGGAGCTTCCCATAAAAATTCGATGGAATCTAATTTAGCTCACCAATGTGCCTCTACCACAATTCAACATTTTGATAAATTCTGCCTCAGAAACTTAGGTGCGATAGAGTGAGATAAATCTCACTCCCCTCTCGCTTTGAAGCCTAGCCCCCCCCTCACTTGAGAAGGAGTAGAAAGGTTTTTCAAGATGAAAGGACAGTATGCGAGGGATGAATGTTGAGATTCCAAGTTCAGGAAGTTTATGAAACAAGCGTACTTGAATCCCCATGGAAGGCGCACGGTTAAATGAATAATTAGTGTGGAGTTTTGGCGTGGGCGTGTTAAACAATAGTTAAAGGAGACATTTTTTGGTTGGGATCATAGTGGCTGTAATTTGAGTAATTCGTCTGTTGTAATTTTTTAAGATAATCAATGAAGTGTGTTTGTGTACTTTTGAAGGAGTTCTTACAGGTGCTGAAGCATGCCCTTCTCCCGGCCGAGAAATCTCCATACTCGGTGAAAGAATCTTGTCGTAAACTGAATTCTCTGTTATCCTGTAGAGGACAGCTTACTTGATATCAGGGCTGTCGCAATAGGATCTGCTCTAGCAGATTTTCTTGAATTTCATTTTTACATCTGAAAACAGGCCGTCTCGCAATCGTTGCTGTAAGTTCTGCGTCTGTATTGGATATGCAGCATAGCAGAAGATGCACGAGAGAAGCAGCTGACGTACTCCAAGGCTCCGATAGCAGTCGCTACAAAATGCCTCGGCACAGCAACATGTGCGGATCCAGTTCCTGTCATACTCATACTTCGTGATGATGCAGGATAACATTTTACGGTAAATCATATTATACAGGGTGTCCCAAAAAAAATGTTTAGAACGTTTGATCGTTAATATCTTTTTTCCCAACAAGTCTTTTGCCTTGCTTCAGTACCGTTTTGTAGAGCTGGCTTCAACTTAGATTTCCATTATAGAACGAATCACCCATCTCTCTTCATTACTGTAGGATTACGGTAGAAACTTGAAACCTATGGTGTCAATGTGGAAAAAGCTGCCGTTTCAAAATTTTTCAAAAAATTGTGAAAACTTGTGTAATAGGGTTTTTATAGACGCTGAGTTCAATACTCAACTATTCACAAGATTACGAAGCTTTCTAAACGGTGTAATCGCACTTTTTAGGAACATTGAAAAAAAGGCCGCTACCTCTCACCTGGCATAACTGTTCAATGAAGCATCGTAATAAGTTGGGAACTTTACAGTTATAATCAGCAGTTCTAATTAGCCTGGTGTAAAAGTTTTCAGGGTGTTTTGTTTCCTTTCTGAGGCAAAATATGGCCTTTCATGGTTCGAAACCCTCTTTGAAGTTTCTACCGTAACCCTACAGTAATGAAGAGAGATGGGTGATTCGTTTTATAATGGAAATCAGAGTTAAAGCCAGCTCTACAAAACGGTACCTAGAGCAAGGCAAAAGAATTCTTGGGAAGAGAGATATTAACGATCAAACGTTCTCAACATTTTTTGGGACACCCTGTATAACCTTGAAAAAACCCTTTCGCCCCGCCTCTTTGACCCGCTTTTGAGATAAACACGAAAATAGGTAAACAGAGACGGCTCGACGTCAGGAGTCACGCGGCGCTTGGTCGACGCTTCGCCGCGCATGTCGCGCGCGAGTTCTTACCAGCGCGGCGGACGAGCATGCCGAACAACTACGCGAACACTTGCCAAGCTTGCCGCACAACTAAATGAATGAAATTTGAGGCTGCTGGGCTTACAGATAATGGTTGGTTATAACTGGTTACAGATAATGGATCTTTCTCTGCTTATATAGATAAGTACGGTTTCATGGAACATTTTCTCTTGACCAGCAAGCTTCTAGAAGGCGCCCTTCCAATCCTTGAAGTTAAACAGTCGAAAAATTTTGAAACCATCTTTTAGTTTGCCTATTGAAGGCCTATTGAACCTTTGTTCACTGCTGATGCTTGTTCACGTCAAAGATAAGATGAGGGCCTTTGTTTTATCTCTTTTATTTCAATGAATGGTATGCGTGCGTGACCATTTGAAACGAGTTTGAAGATGTTTTTTTCTTCAAAAACTGACATACTCCATGCACAGTAGCTGTTTCTGATCATATCATTATAAAGAGCTATTTTTGACTAGTAGATTCCAAAGTGTGGAACAAGAGGAGGATGAGAATGCAAAAGGCAGGAGGGTGCTGGAGCCTCGCATCTCTTGTGGACGTATCAAAATCTATGCTCTCAAAGATTGCTTCAAATATGAGGTCAAAATGTAGGCTATTCAACAAAAAAACACTATGCTTTGAAAAAATGTGAACAAAAATGATGTAATATGCGACGAGTAACTTAGATCGAACTCTAACTAGATTTACAACATTCCAAAAGCTGATACTCTCCTTTAGGACAACTCAAACTTGCAGCTTATTTACTTCCAATTATGGCTTCACAAAAAGAACACACTGTTTTTGCTTTTTATGTGCTCAAATCACTACTTTTGTAGTCCGCAGTTTCTGAGACAGGGGCTTGACGAACCATTTACCCTTGCGACTAGGATGGCAGTTTGCCGCCCAAACAACATCATTCTTCTATAGAACAGCCATTTTGTTATAGGGCGTGCTTGCTATATCGGCAGGACCGCGCGGAAGCGACAGTCCTTCTGCATCCTTTAATAGGCCGCCATCGCAGCCCTCGCACGAAGCGACGTCGCGTGCGGCGGCCATCGCGGCGATTTCTCGCCGACCGTGACTCCTAACCGTTGCCCAACAGAGACAAAACCAAGTCGTTTTTATGCAGATCTTCGGATTAAATCTTTGTCACGCACCATAAAAATGCCATAACAAGTTGTGTGCTGAATGAATTTTGCACAGTCGGGCTGAGAATCTCACTGACCTTGCCATCCTCCTCCTCTGTACATAGCCACCGAGGAACGAAGTTGAAACTTCCTCAAGCTTTCCGATTTTGGCTTGAAAGTCCTCAAACGAAATACTCTTAACTAGAACAAAGCAGATACTAAACAACTACCTGAGTAGAATTCTCTCAAGCATCGCCGGCCAGTTCAGAGACATCGCTTACGCGAAGACATATCTGAGCCACAATCGGCGAGAATTTATCGCTCTGAAGAAAGCCTGATGCGATTACAAAAGAGACGTGATAAACCGTACCACAACGTCAAAAGTATGCTCAAACAGCTTAGCGAGCGAGACCACATTTTTTCTTGGTGGTTTCCCCTCGTTTTGAGAGCCATTAGGGTGAACGGTAGTCTCCAAAGACAAGTCTAGCTATCTTAGAAAATCCATAGACAGCAATTAAGTCAGCCATGGAAGAAAGAGCAGTGACCTAAAGAGCTTACGCTGTCACTGTGACATGACCAACAAATTACGTATTCAAAAGAGTGTTAGATTGTTTCCTAGAGTAACGCATGATATTGCGACACAATACAATAAGACACGCTATATATGAAAACCATAACAAGTTGCTGTGAATACTCAAGAGTGTCTGAGGATGCCACCCAAGATTATGGGCAATTCGCATCATCCCCTCTTGGAGAACGTTACCTCACTTTGATTTCGCAGTTATCAGCTTCCAAGAAAAAAAATGCACACTTGAGACATTGTCTTTCATTATGTGCTCATCAAGGCAGCTTGCTATTCCAATCATTCGTACACATAAATTTCGACGGAATCAGCATTTGCAAGTCTAGAAGGAAAATTCTAACAAAGAAGCATGAACGAAAAGTTGACTGACCATGACTATGAACAGATAATCACAGTCTTCTGGAAGCTGGTCAACAATTCCCTCAGCTAAGATTGCGTGGAGTACGGTGGCAGCACGAGTGGCTACAGGAATGGAACATGTCGTGTGAGAGCAGAAATGCTCTGCTCCCCATCTTCTCTTTTTTCTGCAACTTCGCACTGAAGAAACTTCGCAGCTGTGTCTGCTGCCGAGGGAGTCTCCTAAAAATGACTGTTGTACTGCAAAAGCTGTCCATAACACCAGATGTTCTTGATAAGAGCCAGTCGGTTGATCCAGTTGCGCTATTACTTACCCGCACAGCAAAGTCTACCATGTCTCTGCTTGGGTAAATGTCAGGATTTGCAGCTGCCTGGTACAGCAGCCTTCGCCAAGATTCCCTGTAATGCAATCCTAATATAAATAATAGATCTACAGTATAAGTTAACCCATGAAAAGTTTGTAAAAAACGGACTTTGCCTCATTGCCGCTGTGATCTACGATCCTCATCATGAAGCAGAGTTGTCGAACACCGAACTCATCGCAAACAGGATCATCCTAAGTCTTCAATTTAGCCGCGAAAAAACTAAACTACTCGTTCGTTAACTCAGAAACCGATTAGGAATAAGCGAATAAAAAGGGGGGTAAAGCATATGGAGAGTTCAACACTCACGTTATGTGTTGAAGGAAATGCAGAAACCAACCTGTCCGTCAACTCCACAAGCTCCTGGAAAGTCGGTAAAAGTTGACGGAGCACTTGGTAGACAACAGCCACTTTCTCCGGATTTTTGTACAACGACCTCAGATGCTCACAAACACAGCGATGGAAAAAGAGACGAAGGCTCAAATCTATAATTCTCCAGAAAAGAAATGAGCGTGAAGTACAGCAAAATTACCTCGTCGTTTAGCTGGTATCCTCTTTAGATATCTCACATACTCCTTTCCATCATCTTTGTTTTGTAAAACAAATCCCAAATGGTGCGCTAAGGCATAAAATATCTATAACAGCACCGTTGAGCGCTTGTAGCCACAGAGCAAACATTTTGACATACAAGTTTTCTAGCAATCTCCTCATCTCTCAAAGAGTCAATATAATGTAGCAATTTGAAGGAAAAGCAACGGCCCAATCTACGAAGAGTTTTCTAGCGACAGTTTTGCCTTCCAACGTGTCAACCCCTTCGTGACAATTTCAAGCAATCTGGTAGCTATCTTTTCCAGCAAAGGGCGAACATTGGCTGAAATGACGGACAATGGAGAGCGGGAGCAAACAGTGAGCTGAGAAATGTTAAGCATGTATTGGGGCGAGACCGTCGAAACTAGAAGGAAAACATATAATCACAACTCACAGCTCCGATCACTCATTAGTAAACGCAGAAACCGCAACCGAGAGTCATCACTGAACGAGCGTATAGAGGTCGATGTGATCAAATGCTGGACGAGAACATTGAGTAACTGAAAAGAAAGAGTCACGGCCACGCAGTTTTAACGGATAGTTCACAAGATGAAAGGGATTCTCACCTTGCGTCATCCTCCTGTTCAAGAAATTCTATGAAACGATCAATTTCAAGCTCGGTGCGAAAGACAAATGAGTGCAGCTGCTTCTCGAACTTCAGCAGCATAATCGCGTAATGAGTCGAATATCACTGGAAGGCAAACGTCTGCACTCTGGGTTTCAAGGATGCTAGCCATTGCTACAATAAATCCACGACTGCGAAACAGCTGCAAAATTACAGTCACTAGGAAAGAACTCTTTGTTGTCTTTGTCAACATAAGGTTCGTCACTCATTGGTAATTGACACAAAGCAAGAATTGCTGCTGCGCGTACTGATGCATACTTAAATTCATTCAAATAATGTAATTCACTAAGAATTTTGCATAATTTAGGTACGAAAAATCACCTTGTTATGGGCCTTTCTGCAAGAACAGTTCCCCACATTTTTATGACAATCATCGGAAGCCCTTGATTTTGCACTGTTATGCCCTCTGCAGTTCATACATTTACTCCAGTTGAAAGTGGAAGTCATGCAAAAAAGTTTTCAAAGCGTGACAGTGCTATGTTCTCACCGTCAGCAACTTCCATTCTTTCCTTTTCTTTCAATTCCGCCCAGCATAAAGCATACACTGAAGCAAAAGACAGCAACATGCTCGAGTTTTCTCAGCCGCGTTATATCCAAGCCTCAAAATGGAGAGTGATCAAGACATACAATAATTAAACTGCTCATTACCAGCTCAATGAGATGACGGATTATCGGCTATGGTTTTGCAGATTCCGATGAGCGACAGCGAAGTACAACCTAAAAGTTCCAGTCCAAGACGATGTACGCTCAATAAGCTCTACTATTTGAATCATTTTAGAAAAGTAGAGAAAGATAAAAAGAAAAAGGGGAAAAGCAAAAACACAAAAAGAATCAAAAGAAAACACATAATTAGAAGTAAAAAAGCACAAGAAGGATTAGTACTGACCTTTGAGATAAACTGGAATGATGATAGAATAACAGCACGATCAATCTCATGAGCGCAGTACAGTCGTTTTCAATACGTATTGGTTTTTTCTACCGTATGCCTTTCAGCCTCAACATGACGTGGATTGGTATGGATTGGTGAGGCGCCGCATCGCTTCAGGTTTGCGCCGCGTTGCTTTTCTCGGCGGCGCCGCACCAGTCCACACCAATCCACACCAATCCACGTCATGTTGAGGCTGGAAGGCATTCGGTAGAAAAAAACCAATACGTATTGAAAACAACTGTAATTAAATTGAAAAGCCCTTCGAAAAGTATAGAAGAGGCCCGATTGCGCGCCTATTGAGACACGATGAAAATCAACCTCTACGAAGATCGTAAGAACTCACAGATATGATGATGGGTACAGTATCTATGACACATCGCTTGTCAAAACTTCTACCCGATATGACCGAATTCAAGAAATTCGATGAAGTTTCCAGATACTGTTTGCAGCAACTTCCTCATCAGTTACTAAAAGAGAGATCTCTATCTCTTCTCTAATCTCTATCTCTATCTCTAATATATAAAGAATCGTTAACTCAATTCAAAAATCGGCAAATAGCGGGAAACCGGGTGGCGGTCCCAAAGCGAACGCTTTTCCAAATGGCACCTTTAGATTACTGGTTCACTAGTCGTAACGAGTAAGAAGAAAAAACGTTGACAAATCAGTTACTAAAAGAAGGTCGTAACAAAGACGAAAAAACGCTGACAATGGAAGAAACAAGAAGGATGAAAACACAGGAAAGATAACCTGATTTTTTGATGTCCGAAAAGTCATTTGTTTTTTTCTTTTTTACACGAACTGGGAACGTTCGAGTCAACGAGGACGCTTGAGGACAGCTCGCTGATGTTAGGAAAGGAAACAAGATCCTGAGAATGTTTTACTTCTTGGGAATCTTAGATAGCATTCAAACAAAAACCTGTGCATTTCCTCCAGAACCTTGTTCAGTGTTGATTGATCCACCTGCGATTGTGCGCGAACAAATATCCTCGGACGGTGCCTAGAAACGTAATTCTGTGACTACATTTAAGAAAGAGAAAATATGCTTTCTCAATGCTCAGCCACACTCAAAACTGACCCACAAATGCATTTAGCTAGCATGCTATAATCGGCCTCGGCTCCGTTCACAGAGTAAAAACTCTTTCTTTTACGCATACAAACCTTTTCTCATCCACTGTTAGTATGCAAAGAATAACTGATTTACAAAATCATCGACAAATATTCATTCACTGCTAACCCGCCGAAACAGAGTTGGGCCGAGGTCGCGTCTATCTGCGAAGGGTCTGGAGTTCCTACTGCATGACTCCAGACGACTTCAACCTGATACCGCTATAGAACACAGTATCGAGGAAACTCGACTGTTTTCATAACACACATGTTCAGCAACTCAGTAATGATGAAGTATACTACCAGGCTTTGATGAGATGAGATGTCACTAACAATAATTTTATGGTCCCACCTCTCCGAGCTGTGCGTCTCGATCAAACCAAGTACTTGTGAAGCATTTCTTAATAAAGCAGCACTCGTTCTGAGGTGGTATCTTGTAATAATGTCCAAATCGAATACATTTACGACACTCCAAATACTTCTGGCACCAGCCAGTGAAAAAACAAGAACAAATTAAGACGCACTATCTCATCAAAATTGTCATCCTTCTGAAAGGATGTAGACAGACGCAGCCTTACAGTCGGCGTTTGATGCAGAGGTCCAGGCTGCCTGTAACAATGAATATAGGAAAGAAAATATACTGAGCAGAAAAGGATAGATTCCGCATCACTTTGAGATGACCTCGGCTGCACTGAACCAGAAGCAAGTGACTGACAGATTTCAAGCATGCTTCCTTCCGTCGTATGACGAACGGGCTAAGCAAAAAATTCAAAGCACACTCAAGGCTAGAATCCACTTTTCTTCACGTTTAACTACATCCCCATTTGGCGAGGCCTCCCGGTCATTTGCGCTAATTGGAGGACTTTTGGCAAAAATTGGAAATTTTTGAACTTGAAAGCATTACTCAGAAGCATGCACGCGGGTGCCGAGAATACCGTGCGAACCGAACCCAGAACGGATCCATATCCCCACAAAACTACAAGCACACGCTAAATCATGAATAATCGTATCCCCCCTCCCAAAAAAAATTCAGCAAAAATCTTTGTTTTTGAAAAAATTTTCCAAATTTTTCCAAAGCTAACACAAAGAGATCGACAAAGTTTGTAGTTGACTGCTTTCACAAAATTGCGACATCGAGCTGCTTACCAAACTGCATCAAAATTATAGCCATGATAGAAACAACAAAAAAGATAAGGATTATAAAATTGTTATGAAATTAAATTAGTGAAAAAACAAAAAAACATAAAAAAGGAGATATCCGTTTCGTTCCTACCATTAGACGGATATATATGATTAGTAAGCCCTACCCGGAACTCATCATGATGATGTACGTACACATACACGTGTTGATAATAGGTCTAGAAAATATTGTAGGTTACATATTACATGGTCAGGAGATTACCTTATCGAAGCTATCATCCGTTGAAAGCTGCTTCTCATTCTCTTTAGTTACAAAGACCATCTGTAAGGCTGCGTTCATACTGATCCCGAAGTGCTGGAGCTGTTTTCGGACTTCGGGATCAGTATGAACGCAGCCTAAGACAGCATGCTGACTTCAGAGCTATTTTCGCCTTACTGTTTCTTGTACACCTTTTCAAAGCTATCAGCTTCTTCCAACTCATTCTGTAAGCCGAGACTTCCAATCCATTGACATCACCAGCACCTTGCTTGTAATCAATCTGAAGTATAGATTACCGATGAAAACTTGCAAGACTCCTGATTACCTGATTATACCGACTCTTCAAGACTATCGTTATCTTGACTGTCCATCAGCAAACCAATGTCTGACCACCGATACTCGGGATTACAGTTATAATCCAGCCGTTTACACTACAGTCTTGCTTTCGAACAAGCCACGCGAAGCGGTTTTGACGCGGCGCGGCTTTTGGAACAGCACTGAATGTTTTGTAGTCCATTCTAGCACGAAATGCAGTCACAGATAAACTGCGTAGGCAAAAGCGTCGTATTAGTGGAAGGAAAGCTAGCGGCGGCAGCCTTGAAAAACAGGGCGCGCGCTCCGGGACCGCTGCTCGCTTTCCCGCTTTTCCCACTTTTTTCAAAAGCAGTTGCGATTTTATATTGTTAGATAGATAGATTGCCAAATTCTCACTCCCACACACTATCTTCGATTACACGTAGTATTTACGTGACAATCTTCAAGTTGTATCACGTCGCACTATTGATTCTTGCTAATGGGCAACTTGTGAGAATGACACGGCAGGATGTGTAATTAGTAGAGTTTAACCACCCGTATGTATCATTTTTTACCTCAGTAATACATAAAACAGGTAAAAAAAAATGAATTTTGAGAAAAACGCAAAACATGTGGACCGAGACACTAAGGGATCGTTCAGACCGCGCACAAAGGCGCACGAAGGCGTGTGTGAGTGTGTGTGTGTCGAGATAAACGAGACGAGACGAGATGCGCCTTCGTGCGCCTTTGTGCGCCTTTGTGCGCCTTTGTGTGCTTTCGTACGCCTTTGCGCGCCTTTGTGCGCGGTCTGAACGATCCCTAACCACTACACCACACGACCACAATCGTAGCATTTGTGCGTTCGCTAGACATGCACACGCCAAAAACTTCAGAGGGCCATAACTTGCTTCACAATAACGCGTCGCAGCTAAGGGGCGCACATTTGATACTAACCTCCCGAGCCCCGCGTCCGGGTATATACCACGTACCAATCGGCCACTTCGATTCGGCGAACTTCCCTTGTAAGAATACAGAGCCTCATTAACAAACAACACAATATTACAAACACATTTCTACTCTACATGAGTATGCATTGGTTTTTTATGGTAATATCTTCTGATCGCGATCCGCGATACTCCCGGCCACAATAGTAAACATAACTTCTTGTAGCATGCAGATTCGACACCGATATAGATATATAGATACTATATAGTAGAATGTCAGCACCAATATATTAGGTTGGCGGATAATTTCTGTTACACTTTTCTCGTAAAATTCTAAAAAGTTCCAGAAGTTCTCTAGAATCTTCAAAGTTGC